AAAAAAAAATATTAATTAAAGAAGGGATTAAGTTAAGTAAAACATGAAATACAATAAAAACATGCACCAAAAGGCAAGTAAATAACTACATTATAAAATGGCGACATGGGCGTCAATTATATTTATGACAGATAAATGCCAAAAGCAATAGAGATAACCATAGATGGACGATGTCAATTTATGCTGTAAACAATAGATAATTGATAGAAGCGAAACCATAGATGCCAGAGAAATAATTAAACAGTAAAACAACCGCTTACCTCAAATATATTCTTCTATGGTATTCGTTTTATTCATAAGCGGTGATAACAGAGAAGTTTCTCCAACAATAGATGCTTGAGAAAGGGAAAATAATACCACTGATGATGAAATGAGCCACATAGTAGAAGACATCACATGTGTAACTTTATATACATCGGTGTCAATTGGACTGCACGTATTTCGAAAAATTGCACCTTTCATGTCCAAGAGGAAGCATTAATGGGACTCCTCTTCTCTAGGTTTCTAGTCCTTATTTTTTCACCTTGTTGAAACCTGTTGAAACAATTTTATGTTAGTTTAATCTCAAATACTATGTTTTAAAATATTACTTCCATCAATCAAATAAGATACCATCAAACTAAGTAATTAACTACTACAATTCAGAAAAATTAATAATTACAATAATCATTATTTAGATTTAGAAAATCACAAATCATTTCGTAAATGTAACTTTATAAAATAATTAAAGATTACTTACCCTTTTTACAAATGGCCTCTCTTCAAGCACAACAGAGATAAGTGTGAGTGGGGCTCTGCTTCTGCACATTTCGACCCCTTTCGATTTACCTTTTCTGTGTTCACTTATTATGGTTTAATAAAAACCTATTGAAACAACATAATATTAGTTATATTTTCACTAAGCTTTGTTATTTTATTATTAACAATAATTACCATTGTTAACATTTGCGTCTTATGAATGATGAATTTTTCGATCAGCTCATTACACCTATAAGTACTCGTCCATCTAATCCAAGGATGTTATCTCTCAGCAAGTCTGTATTATAGAAAGAAAACACTATTTAAAACCCAATCTATAAAATAACAAAGTAAAAATAAAAATAATTCTAACAGAAATTTAGAATTTTAAAGGCAGAACGATTATCTCTGAGAAAATTTTTACATATTTTGGCTATAAAACGAAAGCAATCGTCACGACGTAGTCACATCAATATGAAAAATCTAGTCATCGCCTAAAGCTGTTTTCAAAATTCAAAATTCCACCTCAAATAAATCAAGAATGTAAAAATTCACAGTAGTGGTAGTCGACAAGCAAAATACCAAGATGGACTCTCATGTTGAAGCACCAAACCAGCACGCCACAGAAGTCATTCACGCCGAAAATTTTCCAAGAAACGGTAATCGAAACCCATCAATCACTAAAAGAAAATCGAATAAAAGCATTAGGGTTAATTACCTTCAAGCGTCGTTTCCGTTCATGGAGAGCAAAAACCATAACTTGTCGACTTCTCGAAGACTGAAGGCAAAATGAGATCGGAATCCGAAAATTACGTTTACCCTTTGTATATCTATTATCTATGATGAGAATCGCCGGATGACCCATATAGATAAAAACTTCTTCTATACCTATGATACATAAATAATACATTTTATAGGTGCGTTCAATTATACTTATATTCGTAAACAGAAAGCGATATGCCTTAAAAAAATCTATCCCAAGAAAACTGCAACACTAACAGTATATTTCAAATAATTATATCAATGTCTAACAATTAATACATTTTCAAGTAAATTAATTAAAAATAATATTTAAGTATTATCTATTATCCACAGCATAAGTTGATGTTAACGTGCATCTGTGATTACGTCTTACCTTTAAATTACTCTTAACATTTCTTTATGTCATGAATGAAATTGGGATTTCGTCTTTATATCATAATTTAGCTATTTAACTTGTTTTATTGGAGCATATTTTTATTGGATTTCATATTTTACTTTCCTCTTTAGTTCATAGTTTGATAGTCTTTTGTTCATTTCTACAGATCTTTCAACAAATGCGAGAGAGTTAAAGTTCAGTTGGATGGTCATATTGAAAACACCAATATCTACAATGGTGTTGTCTTTCCTGGACTATATTCTTGATTTGCTGTTTTCGTCTTCATCTTCACCTTGCAGCATTTTAATTTCCACTGAAGCAACAAGTTTTCTGCTATGGTATTCCTCCTAAATTTGGTTTGCTTTTCACACCTGCAAACTTTGGAATGTCACTGTTCATGTTGGAATGTTACTGGAATGTCTGCTGTTCATTAAGGTGAGAATATTTGATATAATTAATTTTAATTGCTTTTTATTAAACTGTTACTACCGTATCTGTTTCAGATCGACGGTGGAGAAGAAAGAAGAACACCCCGTAGCTAAAATACTTGTCTATTTTGCATGTTTTTTATAGTTTGGTGTATTTGAATCAATTTTTTATTGTAGATGTTTTTATTTTTGTAGTATTCTTTTAATTTTTTTAGTAGCAGCGGTAGAACTAACCGTTTTTTTTTTAGATGAAACTATCATTAAATTGTTTCGACAGGTTATGATTTTAACACATGAAACGAACAAGGTGAAAAAATAAGGATTGGAAACNATAAAATTGACAACCCGCGACCATTGTATAATGTTGTTTATTCATGTTTTGCTTAATTTAATCTTTAATTGAAGTATATTTGTTTATTTCTACAGATCGTCCAAACGTGAGAGAGAGAGAGAATTACAAGTTCAGGTTGATCATAGTGAAACAACCAATGTCTACAATGGTATCGTCTTTCCCGAGTTATATCCTTGATTTGCTGTTTTCGTCTTCAACTTGCAACATTATGTAGTTAATTTTCAGCAGCTGAGTGAGAGCAAGAGGACATTATTTGAATTCCACTGAAACAACAAATTTACTGCTGATATTCCTCCTGGATTCGGTGTGCTTTTTACATCTGCAAACTTTGGAACATTACAGTCTACAGTTAATTAAGGTGAGAATACTTGATATAATTAATTTTAATTGCTCTTTATTAATCTGTTACCACCCTATCTGTTTCAGATCGACGCTGGAGAAGACAAAGATGACCCCCTAGTTGAAATAGTTCTTTATATTGCATGCTCTACCTAATAGAAATAATTCTTTTAGTCCAAATTCAGATTAATTTTTTATTTTGCATGTTTTTTTTGTAGTTAATTTGAATTAGTTTTTAATTTGCATGCTTATTTTGTTCATTTTATTTGAAGTAATTGTTGAATGTAGATGTTTTTATTTTTTTTGTATGTAGAAGTAGTGTAGTAGTAGAAATAACACGTTTAGTAGTTGTAGTATAGTCTAACCATGCTTACCTCTTCGCTTAGCTTACTGCATATTCTTCCTAATTTGCTTTGCATTTACCCTACGAGTTCTACATGATTCAACGTTTCGTTATCGTGTTTGTTCCTTCTCACCCTTGTGGAATTAGGGAGGGCCTCCCCGAACGACTTCCCTTGGGCTTAGCTATTTAGTTGATCTTAAAAGTGTCTTATACACTTTTCAAACTTTAAGTAGTTAACTAACATAAAGTTGTTATAAAGCGTACAATTAAAATAATAAATAAATAATTAAAAACCACGTTTAACTCCAATATTGCTTTGATTAAACAAAAATTGAATACAGAATAGCGGAAGAACGATCAATAGAGTAGATAATTTCTTATTTATATGTTTCTTCTTGCAAGTTTTAGTGGAAACATCCAGTTGCTCAATTATCTATCTACTTCTCAATGGATTTTAATTTATTCTCCGCCTTAATATATCGACATTTATGTAGATTAATATCATTTTCATAGGCAGTCCACCAAACAATGCTTTTTATTAATAAGTCAAGCTGCCAAGCAAAAAACTTCAAGAGATAATACAAAGATAAACAACCTACAATGTATTTACATAAGTATGTATACGCAAAAGTAGTTTGCATCATAGTTGTCCTTTACCCCGCTCCTCCTGCACCCGATCGGTTAAAATACATTTCATTTTCAACATGTTAGTGTAAAAGCAACAAGTTCGTTTGAACAGAGACGAATTCAGCAAAATATTTCATTAAATTCAAACACAATTTTCATTAATTATTTTCATTGGGTTAATGCAACATTTTCGAAATTAGTTTAAAATATGCAATTACAAAATAACTGCACATGTGGCATTGAAAAAAATCTCCTCTTGTTCTCGCTTATTTGTTGAAAATTAACTGCATAATGTTGCAAGGTGAAGATGAAAACAGCAAATCCAGAATACAGTCCAAGAAAGACAACACCAGTTATTCGTTGCTTCAATATGATCAATCTGAACTTCAATTTTCTCTCATCTGTTGGACGATCTGCAGAAATAGACAAAAAAATATTAATTAAAGAAGGGATTAAGTTAAGTAAAACATGAAATACAATAAAAACATGCACCAAAAGGCAAGTAAATAACTACATTATAAAATGGCGACATGGGCGTCAATTACATTTATGANCTTTAAAAGATTAATATTACTACAATAGACATGTGCGGTTATTATTAATTTTGTGGGATTCACTTGAGGCATTCATCTAAACATTTTAATTCGAAATTTAAATCTAATTTGAATCTTCAGCAAAAATATCAAGTGCATTTAGCAACCATCTCACAAAACTTTTAAATCCAGACCTGTCGACCCAATAAAAGGTCACCTCTGAGGAAGGGAATTATATAAAATACAAAAATTTGCAGAAACTAGACGTGTGGTTAGGCAACCCAACATGCTCTATTTAAAGTTAATTAGACAATACAACTCTAGGGATAGATATACAAGGGCAAAAGATTAGTATGCTTAGATTTGCAGATGATATAGCAGTTTAGCATCTAGCAAGGAGGGATTAGAGATAGCTTTAAATAAAATGGAAGCGGTATTGATAAAACAGTATTGTAATGAAAATAAATAAATGTAAAACAAAAATACTGGTATGCAAGTAGGGAAAGAGCGAATGTAAAGATAGGAGACGAAAGATTAGAAGAAGTGTCCAATTTTAATAACTTTAATATCTAACAAGATAAAATTAAATCATTGTAGTCCCTTTCGACTGCCAACTCCCATAAAGCAATCTGATCGTCACTGCCCCCAGATGTGAACACTGACGAATCTGTTGGATGCCATTCTACTGTAGTAACGGGGGCTATGTGATGTTTAAACGTTGTTACTGCTGTGTTTTCTTTCAACAACACTTATAAAGGCCTTATTCAGTAAATATGATGAATCTAACCAGACTAAATTGAGTTTCATTTTTGCTGCACTAATCTTTATTGCATAAATGTTCTCACAACTTATTAGTCTTCACTTAGGTTTTTTCTGTCTTAGAGTTTAGAGTACACTATAGTTCAAAAATGTACTAACAACGAAAATATTGTTTAACTGGATTATATTTATTAAAATGTCTTCATTTAGAAAACAAACTATTTCTTATTATTCTACCATAGGATATTTTTAAAAACCAATTCTTTATTTTTGTAAATTTTAAAGTTAAACTACCACTGCCAATGAAAGATTCTCTTCTGTTTCAATTAATTACGTTGTCATGTGCTAGGTCATTGCTCAACATTCAAGCTTTACTTGGTGGTGCCCTGATATCCCAAATTCATATACTCTTATCCACTAAGCAAGATGCTAAAACACTCTCTTCATTAGGTGAGCATTGTATATCTTCCACCGAATTAGTATGGCCGATTAAAGGCCTCTAGTCCACGTTCGATTTGCCTCCTTCTGCAGGTCGCCAGACGTGCAAATTCCTTCTACAATCACCTGTAGCTAAAAACTGAAAGTATCACTGTCATAACACAATAGGTAATTTTGATAGCTTAACCCTGGTGCTACAGAACTCCAATCCATGCCAAAGCCCTCTTCTTGGTGTCCACTGAAGGTAAAAAGTGGTTTAATGGTATTTTTAACGTGCCATAACGAGATAATAGTTGAAGATTAATTACAGCCTATAGCTGTTGAGTTAAATTCCAAATGTTAACTCGGCCTATTTCACTCCAACTAGCTGCGACAACTGTATTGTTTAGTCTTGTACACTAAAATATGTAAATAATCATAACAATGAATTGAATTACTTTTAATTAAACTGACCCTTATTCTATCAACACACCCTTGGTGTTTTATCAATGCACATGATATTTGAGGACGTTTAGACTCATCCCCGTCTTCTTCATCGTCATCTTCTGATTCTTCTTCGTCACTTCGACTGGTCTTATGTAAAATCGAAAATTTCATGACAATGAGACTGTTGATGTGAGTCTGAGATGCTCAAGTTCCAGAGCTATTGCATATATAGTAGCTGGAAAAGTTTCTCTTTTCGCCAAGTTCGTCCTGAATAACATCGAAACTTAAACAAGGAGCTCCTGTTTGGGCTTGATGTAACACAATGTATGCTGTTTTGTCACAAACTAGTTCTTCACCTTCTTCAAGTGGCTTACCAGGAAGGTAAACTTCTTTTGCTTCAATACTTTCCTTGTTTTCGTCGTCTCCTTCGTGCATTACGTTATCGTTCTCCATGGTATGATTTTCCTCTAATTCCATCTCATCAATTTTAATAATTATTAAAAATAAGAAATAAGCCTGAATAAATGTTAGGTTAATTCTTCCAAACATTGGAATCGTTGACATAAACATTTCGGAGGTCATAGATTAAAGAAATATACACCATAATATACACTGTCAACGTAGGCAATCATAGGTAAAATCGAGATCATAGATATCAGGCAGAATTTAGAACATGTCTAATGTATTGTCTGAAGTCGGAAAATGAAAATTTGCTTTTCATATTTTATCGATGTTGATGGTTTGTTGATTTATTTATTTATTTCGTTATATCCAATCAGTAGGAAATCGTTTGTTGAACTTTCAAACCCCAATTTAAAAATGTCCTTTTTGCTTCATGTTAAATTAGTTTTTCCCTTACCAAACGCTTAAAGTAACAAAATGTATTAGAGTTGTTATCAACAATGAAAAGAATTTTATTGTTGGAAATTACAGGGATGCACTTTCAATCCCCAATTTAAAATTTAAAGACGTAAATTACATTATTGTTCTCATTTCTTTTAAACAGGTAAACAATATTTTTTTTGTCTAAGCATTTGCATATTAAGGATAATTCCACTGCTATAAAAATATTTTGGCTGCCCTTTGACTAATAAAGAAAGGTAGAATTTTACTTTTAATAAGCTCTTTCTTATTAATTATGAAATAAAATTGTTGTTTCAGAACTTTTCACTTCCGGAGCTTTGTGTCGGGGTTTTAGATCCTTCACTAAGCATGTGGGCACAACAAAGTTGTTATTCCAGAATAGCTCTTTACAAACATGGACAGTACATTGTAAAGGTAGGATTATTTTTATTTAAATTTTCTTTGAATTTAAAATGAATTTCTTCCTTATTACACCAGCTGAAAGTCCCAATATGTATAAAAGTCTTTGTGATGTATCAATGAAATGAATTTTATAGTTGGAAATTAAAGGGATGCACTTTTAACTCCAAATTTAAAAACGCCGTTAAATAAACGAATTGATAGTAACAAAATAAATAAAAGATGTGAGGCATCAGTATAATAAATGTTATAGTAGGAAATAGCAAAGGGGCACTTTCAATTCCCAATTTNTTTAGATCCTTCACTAAGCATGTGCGCATTACAAAGTTGTTATTCCAGAATTGCTAGGTAGGATTGTTTTGTTTTAAATTTTCTTTAAATTTAAAATGAATTTCTTTCTTATTAAACCAGCTGAAATGAAAGTCCCAATATGTATAAAAGTCTTTGTGATGTATTAATGAAATGAATTTTATAGTTGGAAATTAAAGGGATGCACTTTTAATTCCTGATTTAAAAACGCCTTTGTTCTTGTAATGCCGTTTTTATTTTTTGATAAATTAATTTCTCCTTTATTAAATAAACGAATTGAAAGTAACAAAATAAATAAAAGTTTGTGAGGCATCAGTATAATGAATATTATAGTAGGAAATAGCAAAGGAGCACTTTCAATTCCAAATTTGAAAACGTCGTTTTTGATTCTTGTTAGAGTAATTTCTCCCTTATTAAACTAGCTGAAAGTGCCAAAATGTAATAAGTAGTCGTGACTGAAACTTACTAGTGAATATTTTAACTCGTCTTTCTCAAAACAGATGAACTTTTTCTGCTGCGCCGATAATAAGAATCCTTTGGAGTAATGTGGGTTGCCTATAAGAAAGACCAACAATTTATTAAAATTGTCTATTTTAAATTCAAACTATTATCGTACCTTCCCACGAAATTAAATGAGTGCGCTGTAGTCTACATAAAGATAGAAATGTTACAATGTGAGTCGAAATTTGTAAGCAACTAAATTTTTAGGTTTTAATAATCTATTTAAATTCATTTAATACATAAGAAGTCTGAGAAAATAATTATGATAATAACACTAAACAGTGTTGGTGTAAATGAATGTTTTTCACTTTGTTTTGGGTAATTGTATAATCTATGCATTTTTATGTTGTGTACTGTACATTACAATTTTTTATACGATTTCTGATAAAGAAAGATTATCATAGTTTAAAATGCGGACAAAATACTTTAATTTTAATGTGCTGCTTATTTTTAAGTTAAATATTCCGTTATTAATTAAGAAAAATGGAAGTATAAAAATGTAATGCTCAAGAAGATTTTTCTTTCTTTTCGTAATGAATAACGCAATCTTCTGATTGAGAAATTTTTAACAGATTTTTCTTTCGAAGATATCAGAATTCTGCAGTTCATTTCTATATTTCTAAAAATCATTGCATTCTAATAGTCGTAGAACCTTAACATTATCTCCAAGTGATATCTGTTTATCTGCATTCTAATCTCTTTAACGGCCTTATAATAGCATCATCGGTCATTTGTTTCGAGAAATAGTATGCTTTTATTTATGTATGTGTGTGATACACTTTCTGTGTGGAATCATGAATTCCTACGTTATGAATAATGATGGAATTAAATTTAGAAAGTTAATTTACAGTTTTATGAATTAAACAGAATAATTTTGTAGAAATGCGTGAATATTTTAAAACCATTTGTAATACTACTGTACTTACAGTTACAAAAAATATTACAAGTATTTGAAAGAGTATTCCCAAAATCAAATGAAATAAAAAAATTTGTATTTAAATCCAAATAATAAATAATTTCATTGAAAAGTATGTATTTCAGATACAATTACAGATGCTCTTAAAAATATTTGAATATAGTATTTTATATATTTTTACTCGAATACTTTACAGGTTTGCCCAATATAACGTAAAATTTAAAACCGTAAACATTCAACTTCACATAACGTTGGTTAATACAAAACTATGACTAAGACTACTTCGTCCAGATCGAAAGGTTTGGCCATTTTTTCTCGATGAACGTGATCGCTAAATAATGGTAAAAATATCTTAATTACTGATGTTTATACTTATTATTTGATTATTATGTGTTTAAATCGTGATTTAAATACACCATGAATACAACTATTCGTATCTTAAGCAAGAATTCACATAGATATTATTTTTAATTAATTTGCTTGGAAATAGTGCATCGATTCTTAGAAATTGATATAATTTTATTTACGAATTAAACTGAGTTAGTACGATTGAATGCACCTATAAAATCTATGGATCATAGGTATAGATGGGATTTTCATCTATGGCCTTCCGACTCGATTCATCTTCATTTCATCTTGAATCTTGTCTTCGGTCATCGAGAAGTACTACTTTACTTGGTGAGTATTACCTACCTGACTAAACTTCATGTCTCAATTCGAATGTGAACTAATGTAAAAAATTACCATTTATTTATTCCTTTATATCAAATCAGTAGGAAATCGTTTGTTGAACTTTCAAACCCCAATTTAAAAATGTCCTTTTTGCTTCATGTTAAATTAATTTTTCCCTTACCAAACGAGATCAAAGTACCAAAATATATTAAAGTTTTTGTCAACAACGAAAAGAATTTTATTGTTGGAAATTACGGGGATGTACTTTCAACCCCCAATTTAAATTTTAAAGACGTCGTTTTTATTCATGCCGTCGTTAATTACATTGTTGTTCTCATTTATTTTAAACAGGTAAACATTTTTTTTATAAATTCATCCTTCACATTTTGTTTTTTGTATTTTTTAGAAAATGGTACTTATAGTATATAAGGCAGTGTTGTTTTAGGACCTGATATGAACTCTGTAGGTTGGAACAATTTCATGGTGTAAAATAGGGCTGTGACCATTATAGACACAAACAAATTGGATCAAAAGGTAGGATTGTTTAAATTCAACTAATGAACTGTTTTTTGTGTATGTTTCGCTATTTCTTTGCTGATTATAAACCGATTTTGATAACTATTTTTTATTGGATACACCATATCTCAAGGAAGGGGGAAAACTGTTTTCTAATTTTGTTATTTGTTATTTTGGTCATTGTATTCGTTGACAGACGAGTTGGACATGAAGTTAAATCAGGTAAATAGTACTCACCAAGTAGAATCGTGTGGTAGTATTAATTCCATACGGAAGCCAATGTAGCTTGAGATACATGCTCCTAAAGTTTTCTTAATCGGTGGAAATTCCGGTTGGTACGGCCCAGGCTGCAGCCCTTCGTCAGCTGTTCTCGCCAAATATGCATTGACGTCATTGTTTAGTTAGGTAGATTTATGACAGACTCGAGTTTTTTTAATGCCTCTACCCGTCGAAGGCGGATTGATATATTGAAATAATGTTAGGAGGATATCTTTTAGGACAAACGAAGTTTGGCGGGAAGAGCTGACAGAAGGCTGAAGCCAGGGCCCTACCTACTGGAACTTCCTTCGATTAAGAAAGCTTTAAGAGCCTGTATCTCAGTCACATTGATTTTTAAACAAATAATAAACAAAATTCTAATAAATACTACCACACTACTTTACTTGNTTCGCGAGTCTACTCTAGCGTTACTTCCTTTCAGACAGGGTACAGTGGGTTATCTGGAATAGGAGCAATAGGCGACTGCCCAGCTTGCCTTGGCGAAATCTGTCCGATCTTCTCTACCAAAGCTATTAGTATTTGTCGTTAGTCCTTGTAATTGCACTACGCTAAATAATGGTAAAAATATCTTAATTTCTGATTTTTATAATTATTATGTGTTTACATCGTGATTTAAATACACCATGAAAACAAATATTAGTATCTTAAGCAAGAATTCACATGGATATTATTTTTAATTAATTTGCTTGGAAATAGTGCATCGATTCTTAGAAATTGATATAATTCTATTTACGAATTAAAATGAGTTAGTACGAATGAATGCACCTATAAAATCTATGGATCATAGGTAAAGAAGGGATTTTCATCTATGGCCTTCCGACTCGATTCACCATTCTAGACTAATCTTCATCTTGATTCTTGTCTTCTGTCATCAAGTTGAAAATTCACCATTTTTGCTGTTCGTAAACGGGAACGACGCCTGAAGGTATTTAGCCCTAAACTTTATTCAATTTTAATTTGACAATGCAGAATATGCTTCTATTTAATGATTGATATGTTTTGATTACCATTGCTTAGATTTTCTTCGGCGTGAATAACCGATAGCGTGTCGGTTTCGTGTTCTAACATGTGAGGTCCTTCGCATTTTGCTTATTCACTCTTTTACTGTGAATTTTTATAGATTTATTGATTATTTGGGATGGAATAATTAGGGATTTGTAAGAATTTTTGAATTTTGAAAACCGGTTTATGCGATGATCGTAGATTTTGATGTGACCACGTCGCCAAGAATTTCTTTCGTTTTATAATCAAAATACGTAAAATGTCCTTTAAAAATATTATCCTACTTGTAAAGTTATAAATTTCTGTTAAAAAAATCTAATTTAGTTTGCTATTATATACATTGGGTTTTAACGACTTGTCTTTTTTTTCTACAATATAGGCTTGCTTTGAGATAACATCCTTGGATTAGATGGGCAAACTATTTACAGATGTGATGTTTCTGGCAGTCAAACATACTTTTATTTCTAAGAATGCTGATCAAAAAATACGTAGAACAGGACGTTAATGGTGGTAATTATTAATAATAAAGTAACAAAACTTAACAAACAAATAAGACTAAGTTGTTTCAACAGGTTTCTAATAAAACGTAATAAATTGACATTGAGAGAGTAAATCAGAAGGGGGAAGAAGTAGATCCCGTTCATGCTTCTTTCTATTGGCTTTGGAAATGGGTCGTTTGTGGAAAGTCTAAGGAATCTTTAATTATTTTATGGAGAATGGTTTGACAATAATTATTGTTATAATTTCTTACTCTTTTGAATTGTATCGGTTAATTAGTGAGTTTGATGGTCTATTATTTGATTGATGGAAGTTACGGTTCTTAATATTTTAAAATTTAATATTTAAGATGAAACTATCATTAAATTGTTTCGACAGGTTATGATTTTAACACATGAAACGAACAAGGTGAAAAAATAAGGATTGTAAACCTGGAGGAGTGGAGCCCCTTGGACCTGAAAGGTGCAATTTTTAGAAATATGTGCAGTCCAATTGACACAGATGTATATAAAGTTACACATGTGATGTCTTCTAGTATGTGGCTCATTTCATCATGTGTGGTATTATTTCCCTTTCACAAGCATCTATTTGGAGGCACTTCTCTTTTGTTAACGCCTAGGAGTAAAACTGGAGCACCATAGAATATACTTGAAGTATGCGGTTGTTTTACTGTTTAATTGTTTCTCTGGCATCTATGGCTTCTCTTCTATCAATTATCTATTATTTACAGCATAAATTGACATGGTCCATTTATGGTTATTTCTATTGCTTTTGACATTTATCTGTCATAAATGTAATTGACGCCCACGTCGCCATTTTATAGTGTAGTTATTTACTTGCCTTTTGGTTCATGATTTGATTGTATCTCATGTTTTATTTAACTTAATCCCTTCCTTAATTAATATTTTTTTTGTCCATTTCTGCAGATCGTCCAACAGATGAGAGAAAATTGAAGTTCAGGTTGATCATATTGAGGCAACTAATAACTGGTGTTGTCTTTCTTGGACTGTATTCTGGATTTGCTGTTTTCATCTTCACCTTGCAACATTATGCAGTTAATTTTCAACAGATAAGTGAGAAGAAGAGGAGATTTACTTGAATTCCACTAAAAGAGCAAGTTTTCTTTGGCATTCCTTCTGGATTTAGTCTGCATTTCACACCTGCAAACTTTGGATTGTTAAAGTCTACAATTAATTAAGGTGAGAATACTTAATATAATTAATTTTAATTGCTCTTTATTAATCTGTTTGCCACCGTATCTGTTTCAGATCGACGTTGGAGAAGACAAAGATGACCCCGTAGTTGAAATAGTTCTTTATCTTGCATGTTCTATCTAGTAGAATTCATTAAGTTGATTTTATTCAAATTACTTTTTTATTTTGCATGTTTTTTTGTTTTTTTTTTTTGTACTTAATTTGAGTTATTTTGCATGCTTATTTTTGTTCATTTTGTTTGAAATAATTGTTGATTGTAGAT